ATCAACTTTGTTTTTTTCTCATGCAGTATATAGCAGCCTAATAATATGTATGCAATGTTCATCTTTACAGGTATTTTAGACGATACGCCGAACGATATTAGTATCATAACGCTAATATGAGTTAGAAAGTCATGTAATAGCTGTGCTCTTACTTAAGACATCGTGATTTATATAATTGTTTTAAAATACTATATAAAATATACACAAGGTGTCCATAAAGACCGTGTGCAATTTTAAAAATTTATAACTTTTTTTTCTATCACAAATACTAATAAAGTTATAAATTTTTTAAAATTCACACGGACTTTATGGACACTCTGTATAATAATAAATGCGAGAAAGACGTGGCCATATTTGATCCTCGCTTAATATATAATGTTCATATTTCATACTTCCGAATACATGTTTATTTATGTATTTTATCCGCCTTCACATCAGGGAATATTTTAAATATAAAATACTTCAACACGCATAACGAGAACACAATTACTACCGTCTCCGTAGCAAATATAGCGGTATCATGTGAAGTAAATATGGCGGATCGGCGCGTCGATCAGCCATATTTACTCATATACATATCTCATATAACCGCCGCGGCGGTTAGAATGAGATATTCTGTGTATTTATGTTTTATTATTTATATTTATTATTAAATTTCATATATTAATAAATATACAGATTATTATTACTTTAAAAACATTTAAATTTTACGAGTAAATAAGTATTTTTTCAACATTAGAGAAGTTGCGGCCGACGTTTTCAACGCGAAAACGTGTACGTCGGACGTTCAGCGCCGCCTTCCCGTGAGCCTAGAAGTTTGACAATGGCGTTTAGAACGTCGAGCACAATTCTACTAGCGTTCCAAACGCTATTATCAAACTTCTAGGCTCACGGGAAGGCGGCGCTGAACGTCCGACGTACACGTTTTCGCGTTGAAAACGTCGGCCTAACCTCTCTAATGTGGAGAGCGGAACGCCATCTGCCAGCGAAACGAGACGCGACGACACAGGACTTAAGCCAGACTACCGTTAAAAAAAAAGGCGAGAAAAAGAGAGCAGACGTGTCCAGACGGGACTTTTTCTCTTTTTTAAGCACTATAAAAGTTGGGCTCGCCCGGGATTAGACTTAGCTCGTGACGATTTGACGGGCACAATTCAAGCTCCAAATGAAGGGGTCGGCGACCTCCCCAAATTGTAATTTTTAAAACCAAAAATTATATTAGTCTATTTTTTTTAATTTTTAACACTCATATACCGAAAACGATATTATTTACTAATACATATACGAAAATAACTTTGTCAAAAGAACAATTTTTTATGTTATAAACATATTTTTAATATCAATATATACAAATTAAGTGTTACGTAAAAACAATTAAATCAGGTACAAACTTTTTTTAAAATTTTCTATTGTTATTACAGTTTACTTTTCTTTTCGAAACGGAACCATCGCATTTAATACCAAAGTCAACCCGAAAAAACAAGAATTACTTACATTAATGACATTTTCTTAATCAAAATTCTTTCAAATATAACGAAATTGAGTGAATAAACTTCATAATTTTCGGAAAATCGCTTATTCCAAGATGGCTACCGACAATTAAAATCGAACACTTTTAAAATTGTTGTTGATTAAATCGAACGTCATAACAAAACATCACGCGTTATGTCGAAATAGCTAAGTCACATTTTTAATGATCATGTCTTTTACCAATTTCTCAAGCTTCCAGCGAAAAATTTTTTTCCCATGTTGGAGCAGTGGAAAATAATGTGGTCGACATCCTGCTGACCGCCTACAGTGCAGGAACAGAAATCTGTGGGTCTTAACTTAAATCTTTCCAAGTAAGCGCGAAAGTTCTATGGTCGATGAAGAATTGGGTTAGTTTGAAATTGGTGAAAAAATTTTCGGCTGCCAATCTTTCAAATATAGTAGGAAAGAACTTTTTAGTCACGTCAGCTTGCTTACAAATTCATTGTTTCACAAGTCCAAAATCATTTGCCTGGAAAGGTCTGTAAAACAAATTCTATTGTAATGGTTTATGTCTTTGTCATAATTTCTAACGTTAATCAATTGATTACCGTAAATTTTAATCAATGAGAACATTTAAGGAATCCACTAGTTGATTGTGAAACATGAGCGGAAAGTAAAAATCGCACGAGTATCACGCGGACGATTACTTTTTGAATCGCGACGATTATGAAACAGCCTTAAGGTGTTAATTTACTAACTTAATGAATCGGGGTTGATACCAGGTCACGCCTTCACTTTATTATGGGCATTACGTGTTGGGATATCGTCCCAATTTCTCAGCATTCCCAGAACAGCTAGCTGGTAAAGCTGACATATAGCCTAAGTGTACTAGTTACTCGTGTTAACCTCTTAAAGTTAAATTATAGACATTTTCTGTATAGTTCATATTCTTCCATAAGTTAGAAGAAACTATTTTTTTTCATACACATCGAAATTAAATTTACATATAAAATTCTGTTTCAAATTTTTTTTCTACAAAATAATTACACAATTGTTTACATACCAGTGTAAACTATACACGCCACCGTAAAAAAAATCGCAACTTCTCTAAGATAATTCTGTAATTCCATTCACTTAGCTGTTATAAATGAATGAAATTACAACTGAAGTAACAAAATAAATGTTACTTCTCTCAGGAATAAGAATTTGCTTGTCCGATTCGTAGTCAATTATAATTTGATACGTTCAGAGTTTGTTTGTACAATCTAATTTTTTCATTTACTTTTAGTCACTTCAATTTGAATTTTTGATAAACTGCTAAAATATTCATGATTATAGTTCGAAACAGAGTTTATAACAAATAAAAACTTATAAATTTCTTACTTTTATTAGTAAATATACTAAAAGTAAAAATATTTTGTATGGCAAAACTAGAAACTATTGGGTAGTCTCGAATTTTTCGATTCTTATTGATTTGTTCTCAGTATTTAGATTCGAAAATGTTAATGCTTGGGATTCAAAACACTTCAAAATATTTATTATTTTTTTTTCTTATAAAATTAGTAAATACAACTTGTTCAACCACATATTGTTCAATCTACAAAAGAACATTATTTTTAATTGTTCTTTCTTATTTCTTTCCATAGAAAATGTTTTTGAAATTTCATATCAATCAATAATTTTTCAATGGATTCAAAACTTTTGTGTAACGTCGGATACATTTTGCTTCTATTTTTTTAAAAAATATTTACTAACGTTTTTTTATCATTAAGTAATGCTAGTAAACGTTTTTAATAAATTTATTTACCGTATGACGACCAATTTTGGATTCTGTCATATCTGTTCTCTGCAAAGCTCTGTAAGTTACTGACAACTATGAAACGAAAATCAATATATTGAAGTATGAATTTGAAGAAAATCTAATACGTCAAAAAATCTAAAGTACGGGAAATTTATTATACACTATAAGAAATTTTCTGAAATAACAATAAGAAACTGGCTGAATAGAAGTGTCTTCGACAGTTTATAATTTCCGTACTCTGTTTTTTTGGTGATTTTCAAGCATCAGAGATTCAAACTTCGACATTGTCTTCTGATATTTTTATTGGGTAATCTATGATATATCGTAAATAAAACTATATAACAAATTTCATAAATTAAAATATCTCTACTTAGAGCGAATATTTCCAGATCATTTGATTTTCACTGAGCTCAACAAAATTTCACAGTTACGCCACTATTTCTTCAATTTCGCTTTATAAAATAATCTATAAAAAGTATCTATTGCAATCTTGTCAATACGTTTTAAATATTTCAAGTAAATTGTTAATGAAAAGAAATGACGAACCTTAGAATAGTAATTACAATTTTAACTAGTTTACAGCAACATCAATGGCCGACCTTACAAGCAAACTCTAAGGTCAGCAAGGAAGATGTATCCCCAGGTCCAGAGGCGTCGAGATGTTGCAGATCCTGACAGAAAAATTTACGTTGACCCCAAGTAAAATCCCAAGTTTCTACGTATTCTTAGTTATAAGATTGGGACAATTTATTACCCACTTTAGACTCTAATTTTCAGCACAGTCCTTCTACCGTTAATTAGAGCGTAAAATAAATTGTGGGATGATGTCCAGGTCCCTATGAATCCGGGGAGAGGTGAATTTTACCCCATCATCCCCCTCTTTCGTTGGCCCTGTTCAGGTCCCTTAGCTTTTGGGGCCCATGTCGAACAAAAAAGTTAAGGTTATAATTAGTATTTGTTTAATTATTGTAATCATTTTTCGTCTTTATAATATTATTTAATTTGTAGATTTCTGTAACAAGCATTGTAAATATTATAGGATGAAAGTATTTTTAAGAGTAGACCCTTTTCTAATAGAATCTCAAATTACTTTTAGCCCAGGACTTCAGAAAGTACAATATACCACTGAGACATGCAAATACATCTATAATTTTGTTTTTTCACAATTATATTTGACAATCTATTGAATCACAGCATTATTATATTATGGGAAATTGTTATAAATTGAATTACAATATGATTATATTATATGACAATATTGTTATGATTTTTACAGTAGACCCCCCCTATAACACTGTTCATAATTCCGTATTATATGAATTCCATGTTGTACGAGTCACTTAGATTTTACAAATACGTGAGCCATTCACAGGCAGGCACAGGTATTTGTAAAATTTAAGTGACTCGTACAACATGGAATTCATATAANTTACAATAAAATAAAATTAAATAATTAGATAATGCAAGTATAATTGATGAAATAAATTAAACATCCTTAACTTCTGATAATTTATCAAATTAAAACAATTTCTTTTCACAACAAAATACAGAACAACAAAATTAAGATTTAATTACAAAAATATAAATTATGGAATTTTGTAAAAAAAATATTTGAATTTAATAAAATTATAATACAGCATAATATAATAAATTCAAATTATGTAAATGTATAAATTAGAAATTTTTTTTTAATGTATTTATTTTCAAAAATAAAAACTTAAATGACATGATTAAATATTTTACTTCTTATTGTACAATTTAAATATTTGATAAAGTGAAAACACATTAATATGAGATGTAAAAAATAGTTATACAATACAGTAGAACCTCAGTTTAACAGACTTTGATTTAATAGACAAAATATTCCCATCCTAAAGGAAAAATTTATAACCTTTTTATTCATAGAGAGAACATGCTAAAAGATAGGCACTGAGTCAATAAGTATAATAATATTTTATTCGTGCTTATATATTATAACAAAATTTTAATATATCTTATTGTAAGTTTGTTATTAATATATGTTTATAAAACACATTAGATTTAATGGATATTCAACAATAGTGAAGACTGTTTCCTCCCAATTAGTCTGTAAAATCAAATACCCATATCTACCGTATACAGAATTATTCATCTAATTATCATATCAACCATTTTGTAAAAATATTTCACAGATTCTCTTAATTATCTTTTGATATTGAAAAAAATATTTCAATTATATACTTGCATTTTATTGCTTTAAAAAGAATAAAAAAACATTTCTAATTTCTGTCTATTATACAAATACCTGTCCTCATCAATAAAGAAGTTATTTCAAATGCTGAAGAATAAGCTTGCTTTTTTCCAATAAATTCATCTAAAATAATATCTTTCTTAATTTCTGAAACTGGTTTAATATTTTCATCAGTATGAAATTGTAAATTGCTTAGATCAGTCCATGTAGCTGTAGGAACTTCTATTTTAGAAAACTGACCACACATACATAGTTCATTTGTAAAATTCCATAAATGATTATGTATGTTATCTATCTTAAAATCATATTTTTTACCTGAATGCACACTTACTGCAATTTCATAAATAGCAGAAACAAAACTTTCTGCTATTATTAGTATTTGTTCTTTAGAACATCTAAAAATGTTGCTCATCTCATCAATTGTATTATTAATCTGAAATATGCAAAATATAATGTAAATGTCTAAAATATTTAAGTGAAAATGTAAACATCAATAATATAATAACAACATACCTTTTTGTATAAATGTGCTGCTAATAAACTTTCAGTACATCCAGCTCCAAAGGACATAAAACGACTATTAACTAGTCTATATAATGTATCTATTGCTTGTCTACATATAATCTGCAAATAAATGTATTTGTTAAGTTCTTATTTAACTATTAATATAATTTAATAAATATAAATTTTTGTTCATAACAGTTTTGTGGTCAATTTACAATTTTTTTTTTCAAATTCAAATAATGTTTATTTGTAATAGGGTATACCCGTTACAAGGGGATGTTACAAGTGATAACCAACCCAAGTTGGTTTTTTCTCTAATATAACATATAATTTCCAATATAAACATCATCTTATCTATTTTCTTAACATTAACATACTTTTTGTATTATAAACTTAATTCTAAACACTTATCCTGTTAGTTCATTACAAAAGATATTTTTTTCTTTTTTACCGATATGAATTAGTCAATTAACAGTACTTTTCTGTTTGGAAAAGGTACTTGATATTTACATTGACATTTTTAACCAATGCATGGCGGCTATATCCAAAGACCGTGATCATTGAAGTACTCACAGTTGACTTTTTAACTATTTTCTTCTTTTATTTAATTTTATATGATTGAAAAATCACATATGGCTGAAAGGTATATAAGTTAATTTACAAATAACAGAAAATCTTTTAATCTGTTATTTCCTTTATTAATTTAATATCATTAAGAAAATAACTTGATCTTGTTTCTTTATAAATCAATTTTTGCAAGAATATGCAAGATATCACAACAGTGTTTTTAAAAATAATTAATTCTATCCCGGGATTTCCCGGGATCCTGGGAAACAGTTCACTTTTATCCCGGGATCCCGGGACAAGCAAAAGACCGGGAAATGAAAAACCCTAAGCAAAATGTAATTACCACAATGTCTCTACTTTTAATTAACTTATTTTTCATAATCAAACATTTTGATGATAGGAGAGTACTCATCAACATTAAGTAATAAAAAAACAAGAATTTTGTAAAAACTGCATTATAATTAGCTGCTTGCACCAGCTCATGTAATATTAATTTTAATTAGTTTTGTAATAATCAATTTTAAATTAATAAATTACAATAAAAAGTTAATGTTTTATTACTGTTTGAAACTATTTTATTCCAACTTGTAAATCAGTAAAATTTATAATGAATATATGTGCATATATTCTTTTTAGTTTTTAGTGGCCTAGTTGTTAAAAATTACCAATATACCATTAACTGTAACATAGCTATAAATACAAAAAGATATGTTATCCCTGCTTGATATTTTTTATGCACACAATTGGGTATGTAAATGGAAAGTTGTATCACAGTTAATAAATTTATTAACTTTCTGTTTAATTTCTTATTTGCTTATAACAGTAACATTAACACTACCATCTAACATTATCAATATGTATTTTCTTTGGCAACTGTAAAAAGCATCTTGAGATGTAGAAATGAGTAACAACTAATTGAAAAATGGAAATGTTTGTTAGTTTATGAGATAACTTTCAAAGCAAATATAAATATAGTCAGTATGATAACAGAATAATGCATTAAATTTTTGATAATTTAATTCCATCATGATGCAAGTTTGGATGAAATTACAATAGAGTCTCGAAAACTCAGCACTCGATAACCCGGCAGTCCAGATAACTTGGCCACACCCTGGCAGGGCAAAAAAATCCTTAGTTAATTAATTTTCATTATAGACAGCTTTATGCCTCATAAAGTATTTTTCTGAGGTCTGTCTTATCAGGTAAATTNAACAATATTATATGCAGTTTTACTCAAGGGATGTGTGTCACCAGGTACAACATAAAACAGAATGTAAATTTGTGCTCCACCCCAAGTAGTCCCAGATGAATGCTAGATACATATGCAATTGTACATGTATCTAGCATTCTATGTAATGTTTAATAGAAAAACATTAAAATATTTTAATGATATATAATGAATAACATTTTAATCTGATGTTTCCAAATATGCAGAGCAAAATTTTCTTATACTGTATCAAGCACACTAATTGAGAAAAATACAAGTAAATCAAAGTTTACACCACAGTGGGTAGCATATAGTTGTTCTTGCATGGATTAACAGAAACTGGAGAAATATTGCTTACTAACTTAAGAGTCAGATTCAGTGGCACTAGAAGTGAGTTAACCTAATCATTCACCATCCACAAAAACATGAATCCATGTGTAACAATCCTATGCAAAACAAAGCCTATGATACGTGGGAGTAGAGCAGGCCCTTTTAGCCTTTTGTTTTTTTTGAACAAATGAAATGTTTAGAATGTTTCTTTATTAATAAAATGCAGTCTTAAAGATTTTATTTTATATTAATAAAAATAACATTAATTTTATAGGCACCTATAAAATTAATCACTAAAGGCCGCAAAGGTTACCCGCAACTCCTTCCCTCAATAGGCCTGCATACTATAATAATTTCAATGGCTTTATTCAGTTTTATCGTAAAGTTACAAGATTTGTTATTATTATTCAATTTTGAAGACAATATTTCTATTGAAACCAGTGAAAATTATTGTAAACTTTAATAAAACTATATAAAATTTTCAATTGAATTCTACTTTATATAATTATAATAATAATTTTAAAAATTTTGAATCAAAATTAACTACAAATAGAAAAGGAAAAAAAATCTAACTGTGTTAATATGATAAAGAAAATATTAAAAATTAGATTCTAATAAATATTCTAAACATAATAAAACAATTAATAATTTAGCTTATTTATAATACATTAATTTCTATTTTTAATTTTAAGTCTTAATATATATGAAAATCTTCAATTGTTATATCTTAAATTAAAAGAATCATTGATTCAAAGTGCAAATTATTGTTATTCAAGTTATATTGAAATGAGTTTTAATCTAATTTTAATTATCAACTTCAATATTTTGTTTTTTGCAATGAAATTTTTTCAGTTTTATTTATCAAGTGCTTAAATATGTTCCAAACTTATGCAACAGCATATATTTTGATTAAATATGTAAGATATAAACAAAATTTGTAAAATGATTTGTATATTCTGCAAATGTTCAAACTGAAATTATAAAATGTTTCAAAGTTATATAGTCATTGTTTTATGCTTCAGGAATTTGTATGGAATTTATTAATATTGATTGCATTGTATATCTTTTCATATATTTTTGGAAAGAAACTGAAGATTTTTTTTGGAATTATAATTTTATTTTTTTATAAATTTCTAAAACTTTAAAACTAAGAATAATATTACAAAATGAATATATTATATAAGAGCAAAAACACAAATTTTAAAATATTTTATATAATAAATATGAATAAATAATAGAATATTGATTAATTTTTTAGTTAAATCTAAAATTCCTTAAAAATAACTTAATAATTGTTAAAAATTCATTATATTTAACGTCAACACACAAAAAATTATTAAAGATAACTACTGATAAATATTAATTATAATATTATTTTAGTACTATATCATTAAATTAAATTAAATTTATAATAATTACAATATTTGTAAAATATTAAAACCACGGTTCTTTTTCTTCTTAATAAATAAATTACTTTATATAATTACACCTTCCAGCTAAAATTTTAATAATAATAATTTAATTTTTGTAAGAAGGAAATTTCAATGTAATAAAAATTATATAGAACCACCTTGAATCATCAATACATCTTTAAAATAGGTTTATATTATAAGCTATTTTATCCAGTATAAAAAAAACTTTCAACCCTGTTTTCATTTAAAGATATAAATTAAGTCAATAATTATAATATAAAAATGTAAGTACAAAAACTTATATTTTTAATTGCTGCATTTTACATTTTTAATAAAAAATAAAAAAAATGATTATTTCTTAACTACATTCGTATCAATATACTACTATCAGACTATCTACTTTAAAATTTAAATAAATAATAAAATAAATGTATAAAAATGTAGAATAGATGAAAAATATATTAACATGAAAACATAAATGAATAAAATTAGGGAAATAAGCATTATTACTGCTTATTTTTCCTAATTTAAGTATTAAGTATTTTAATACTTGGGTTCAAATTTTTACCTTAAAATAGAAAAATTACATTTATATAAGTGAAGAATATGTAAATATATAAGCACTAAATACAGTGTTTATGCCAAATTAATCAATCCACCTTTAACATTAGGTGAAATTGAAGTTCATCCACCATTCACTGTTAAAGGTGCATTGATTAATTCAGCAGATTAACTAAAATGGCTAATTCATCCTTGTTTAAGTGTTTATTACAAGTAAAATTTATATAAAATTTGTGCTCCACCCCAAGTAGTCCCAGATGAATGCTAGATACATATGCAATTGTACATGTATCTAGCATTCTATGTAATGTTTAATAGAAAAACATNTACATGAAAGTTACTAAACTTAATAAAAATATAATCTGTTAATTATGAAAAAGTACTTTATAAGCAATTCATAAAAACTAAAATTAATAATTTATTTTTATTATTGCATATCTTCTGCACATATCAATAAAAACAAATTACAAATTCATCAGGTCTACATCAATAAATGAATTTACTTTTGAAATATTTATTTATTAAATATTTTAAATTCTTTCTGCCTTATGTTTAATAAGAGGATCTTTTATTCACACCCATCATGGATTCAGTAAAATCTGCAATAAAGTAGTGGAATGGTGGGGGATGGCTTGATCATCTAAGAAAGTTTTTGAGGATTGAACCCAAATTTGAATCTCAAGATCACTCAGAGCAGCAAATGCATGCCTTAACAGCCTCAACCATCAACCAGTATCTTTATTAAAACTGATTTACAGGATAGCCATAAATTGTTAAGTACATTTCAGTAATGAATAGTAAATGAATCAAAGAACTAGTATCTAATTGTATTATATATCAAATCATTCAGCAACTTAATTTTTACAAATACTGTTTATTATGTCCATGAAATTTGTTTAAATATTTATTAATTGCTTTTTGGATTCTACACCAAATAAGCATTTTGTTTAATAATGGAGTTGATTTGATGTTAAATAAATATTGTCATTTTGTTCTTAAAACTGATGACAGTTAAAAATTTTTTCATTTACAATAATATTAAT